AAAAAAAAAAAAAAAAAAAAAAAAAAAAAGTTGTGACAGATTTTTTTTTTGCAAATTTTAGCCAAGTATTATTCATTACGTTTATTATTAATTTTTTATTGAATAAATATGCATTTAGTAGTTATTCTGTTCTATCGTATCTGAACTATAAAAAAAGTAAAAAGAATAATTGGATAAGGTGTAAAACAAAAAACATGTACTTCTTTTTGTCACATTTGAATTTCTTTTAATTAGGCATTTGTTGTGTTCTAAATTAAGGCAATATAACAAAAATTGTCAATACCTTAGCACTTTTTCTTACTTTATTTTATTTGTTACAATTTTAGGTTGACTGTTTTACAAATGATCAGACTAAAACAATCGCCTTTGACGTCATCACTAGTCCTTTTACTGGTGATATTAAGTTCTGCAAAACCAGGAAAAACTCAGATATCACATCCAGAAAGGTAAATACTTACTTTTTTCTCGGCCGTAAATATGCTTCTTCAGTAATCAGCAAATTTTTTTTTACTTTTTACATAACCTAATACTCTTAGATTCAATGTGCAACTTTTGACTCTTACGTCTTAGCTGCTTTGCACTTCTTTTTTTCTTTCTACTTTTTTTTTTTTCGAAACTAAGGTGCAGAGTTGATAGTTGACAATTATATATTTTCTTTGGTATATCATAGTGCCGATTGTCATAATTTGTAGGTTGTAAACAGCTGCGAAGTATTTAGTAGCATACATCTGTATAAATATTTAGTAATCAAAACTCGTACAGTAAATGTTTTGCTATTGAACTGCTTAAGGAGTCAGGTAAATCAGAAGCACTGAAAAAATATCAAAAAATATAGTCAACAAAAGCAAAAAATTTTTTTTTGTGAACTTTTTATTAGCTACTCCCCAACCCTACCAGATTTGTTTATTGTAGTTTCTAACTTGAGACCTTTTAAGTTACTTTCTATACCTGTGATAATAACAGTTAGCAGTTTTTATAAGTGAAAGAGCTGTTGTTTGGCGCAAGCAAACTACAAGATCACTATAAGCAACTGTAAGTGGAAAGTGCTATGTCTATCTTAATTAGCTAAAAAATATTCGTTGCTTCATTCAGTATGTTTCTTGTGAGGATATGCAATCAACGTTATTTGTCTGAAAATCTTATAATATAATTGTAATTTTCAACTGTTAAATTTTCAGTGGTAAAACAAGAGGTGAATTTGCTCCATTTTCACCATTTAGGCCTGTTTTCACGCATAATACTCCAGAAACAGAATATCTGACTAAAGTTAGCAAATGTTTGAAATTATTTTCAAATCATAAATTTTCTTGTCTTTGAGAATAATATTTATTTATCTGTTTTGCAGAAATGAAAAATCTGTTAACTCATTGGCATTATTTTGTAGATATCGCCTGTAGCAATTAATAATGCTACTGTGAAACCAAAAACTGGAATCATTTCACGTCCAAACCGAGGCTTAATGCGACATCATTTTACAAGCAATTTAAAAAATGTCTTGTTAAAAAACAAAAAGAACCGCAGAAGGTCTAAATTACACACATCTCGTACCAAGTTTATGAAAAAAATGAAACGTCATCGGCCACAGCTTTATCAATCTCCGATATTGCTTATAAAGTATCAGCAACGACTAGAAGCTGTGAAGAAAACAGCTAGAAAACAAAAACAACGTTCGGAATCTTCAGACTACAAAAACTTAGGTCAGTTTTTTCTTTTAAACAGTTCTTAAAATTATTTCAAAATAATCTTTTCTTCTTTCTATTCTTTTAGTTTAACATCAATTACAGATAAGTTTACTAGAATACGAGGTGAATGTGACCAAAAGTATGCCGGTTTTTCAGAGAAGTTTACAGAATGGTAACTTTTTAAATCTGTGCCTATAACTAGCTGTTATTTTTTGTATGTCTTCGTAATATATTAACAGTCATCAAGCGTGTAAGTTTTATTAGTTATTAGTGAGCGCCTGAAGTAGTGCTTTATACAACAATGACAATTTTACACGTTATTACTGCGACAAAAAAAAAAAAAAAAAAAACCAAAATACTCTATACATTGACTGACTTTTATTCTTGGTGTAATTTTATTGTTTTTTAAGTTATAAAAGCAAGAAAAGAATAGAAAGCATTTAGCGATGGGATTAACTGGAATGCATAGATACAGATTAGAGGTTTTAAAAGAGGAGGAATTGTTGTTTTTGTTTCTCTCACTGTAGTGCTGTTCTGTAATAAAAAGGCTCTAAAAAACGTCTGAAAATTACTGAAAAAAAAAAAAAACAGATACAAATAAGAATAAATAATCAACAGAGCGAAATTCTGTTTTGTAAACTTTTTAAAAAAATTACCGTTTGGAAAATCTTCAACGACCGTAAAAAATTGGTCATTATCGCGAGTTCTTTGCAGATACGATCAATTTTGGTTGTTAGACGGACATAGAAAGAAAAAATCGGTTTTAATAGCTCATCAAAATCTGCTGACAGCAGCATAAACAGACACAGTTTACACAAGGTTTTTTTTTTAGGACCACAAATTTCAATTTTGTAGAATATAAGGTTTCTTAAAATAAATGTTAAGCGACAAGAATTTTCCTTGAACAACTTCTAAAAAAGTTCTGTGTATTGTCAGTACAGTCGTTGTCAATTCCGAGTGTTGTCCGTAGACCTTCCGCCAATTTCAGTATCTTTAAAATTCCACTTTTGAAACCAATTAAGAGCGAGTTTTTTCTGAACTTTTGCTGAAGTTTTAGTATCTTAGAACAATTTTTGAACAAATTTAATTTATAAGGTATTCTGTAGAGTGACAACGTAGTTTTATTTTTACTATTCATGAAATCTTACCGGTACAAAAATGATCGTGTTAGCTACTTAGAGTGAAAACGATATTTTACGTCGCAGATATATTTTTTTTGAAAATTTAGGTCATTCTTTAAAAAAACGGTAAGTAATTTTTGCTTAATTTATTTTTGCTCTTAATATGTTAACTTGCAAATATAGAATTGAACAAGTTTGCACCAACAGTTGATCGGTGCTTATCTGCATTTTCTAAAAAATTTTTGTTGATATTGACGTCGGAAGGATATTTGTCGTCTGTTTAGTCAAATGTGGAGTGCATTATCCTTTAATTTTAAAATGCATGACCAATAAAGATGTTTTTAGTTGAAATCTTTAACAAATCTACTGATTTCTTCTTATTGAAAAAAGAAGAAAAAAATTTTGTTTACTTTTTTAAGTTTGTAATTCTTTTTTTTTTTTTCTGCTTGCTTAAGTGTGCAGTACCCATTTCAATCATACATTGAAAATTGTTCGTTTTACTCGCTTAGGCGTAAATTTTTTTTGCAATATCTATGTTTGTTAAACCAACTTGTCAACATTAATCACTTGGCATTTTTGAGATTGTAACAGAACTTGGTGGTAAAAACACCTTGTTTTCAACATCTTCCACAATTTTGGTTGTTACGCAAGAAAAATATAATTTTGATCAGTCATCTGTGCTCAAGAA